CTCCAAGAGTGGACAGTTTGCCTAACTTTTCTTTTTGCTGGAGGAGTTTGCTTCTTGCCAGCTGGTTGACTAAAACTCTTCTTCAGAGTCACTGATTGGCTGTGTAGCTTCTGCCTATTAAAACATAAGATGGTGAGGAGCTGGAGAGATGGTGCAGAGGTTAAGAGTGCTGGCTGCTCTTCCAGAGGACCCAGGCTGGGTTCTCAGCACTCACATGGCGGGTCACAACTATAACACCAGGGTATCTGATGCCCCCTCTGGCCTCCACAGATACCAGGCATGCACATGATACATAGACATACATGCAAATAAAACACCATATACATAAAATAAAACTTAAACATATATAGCTTGTGGTGACTGAATGTCATCTTGGGAATCGTATCCTTCCTCAGGAATAACACTAGTTACTGATTTCATGCTGTTGGAGCTCTAGTCCATGATTTGTAAAGTGAGGTAGAGAGAGGGGGTGTAGTATGAACTGCCCAAGGAAGTGTTCTATAGTGGCCCAGAACTCACTTTGTAGTTCTTAAACTTGCCTTCCTCCCTCCCGTCTTAGCCCGCTGAGTGCCATATTACAGGTGTGTAACACCATGCTGGCCCTGATGACCTTAGACTCATAAAGTGTTGTCCCTCAAAGACAAACTAACAGGACCTTTTAAGTTCCCCAGGACCCCTTGAGTACTGGATACTTTGGAGAATATTTGCTCGATTGTCAAGTCTGGGCCAGAGTATAAGATAGACTTTAAGGCAATTTTCAGGTTTTTGTTTTTCATCAAGTAAAACTTGGAGGAAGAGACAGGGCTGTGATGGGTTGGTTAGTCTAAAATTGTTAGGAACCCCAGGAAGTACTCTCAAACAGGCCCTGGGTTAATAGCTGGGCTGAAATGTCTCTAGAGATGGCATGGTCTTCCCATTGACCCTAAGTGTCCTTTGGGAGCCTAGGCACCCCAGAGAGCAGTCAGAGACTTTCTTTCAAATCTAGCAACTGAAGTCTCAAAATTAGAGGAACTGTCACTGAGAAGACAGAAAATGCTACTAAGTTCTTTGTGACAAGCAGAGTTCTACATGACTGAGCATCCTAATTGGGGACCCCAGTGTTGCATTATTTAAATCTGTTATCATTGATTTTCAACAATCCTTCTTTTCTTAGACTCATAAAATGTTAAAAAAGCAAGTGGAAGAACATTTAAAATGACCACAATCCGTCTTTCTTATTTTACTTTGAAGGAAAAAGAAGCCCAGAAAGGTTGTCTGTTAAGTAAGGAGACACACAGTAAGGACAGGGCAGAATCAGGAGATGTCTGAGTCAGCCTATGATGCCTTTGATCAGATTCCTCAGTTTCTCCACGGCTTCTGTGTGCTCAGTTCTGCATTGTCTGTAGATACAATGATCACACATCAGATACCTCGAAGGTGGATGGCACAGGGTTTCTGAGTCTTGTGTGTGTGTGTGTGTCTATCTGTCTGTCTGTATGTATGTGTGTGTCCGTGTACTCACACTCACATGCTATAGTGCACATGTAGAGGTCAGAGGATAGCCTCTCGGAGTCAGTTGCTCCTTGCACCATATGGATTCCCTAGGATTGAATACAGTCACCAGCCTTGGCAAGTGACTTTAACTGCTGAGCCATCCTGCCAGCTCCATTAATTATGTTCTCAAATGCTATTTTTTTCTTTGTCTTTTTTTGTTTTTTGTTTGTTTGTTTGTTTTTGTTTTTTATTTTGCTGAGCTGTCCCACAGATGCCTTGGAATATTCCAGGAGAGGCTTTTGATGGGTGAAATTTTACAGCCACCTCTTCATAATAGTTGTGTCAGGTATGCATGTGATTTATTCACCATGCGCTTTGTATTACTAACCTTTTACATTTGTCATGGTTTTGTTGGGATTAGCTGGCTTTCCAAATGCTGGCTCCGTTTCTACTTTAGATTACGATAACCCTTCCTTTATAACTTGCTTTCTTTTTTTTTTTTTAAAGTATTATTTTTTTATTTAGATTATTGCTATGGACATTGTGAATAAAATTGAAACACTAATTGCTATTATACAAATGATCTTTCATGTTGTTGAAGTTGTAAAATGATATAGTATGTCTATTTACATTTTCATTATCTTTGATTAATATCCAATTACATAATACACTTCATCTCTACTGTGAAATGATTTATATACGAAGATATTGTGTAAGACCATGACTCTTCCTCCCTGACTAGGGTCAGTAAAGTGTATTTCCTGTATATTCAGGAAATATTTAGCTTTCTTTAAATAGCATAGGATGGCTTTCTTTATCCACAAAATAGTATGCTAGATGGAAGAATAGAGCACCCTGCATATGGTTAGCAGTCTCTTGATTTTGGTTGGATGGATCGTCTTCTGTCCAGAGAAGTCTGAATGTTATATTCTTTCTATTTTTACCGTGGCTGATGAAAAAAAAACATTAGTTTACAGGGAAATGTTAGCTATGCATTTATTTTCCTCCCCTTTCAGTGTGAATGGAGTCTTAACACAACACATTCAGATGCATACCAAAGGCTGAGAGAGGTCTGGCAAATTGAACGTGGGGTTATTGTTTGTGTCCACAAAACAAAGTCCTAAATCACATTTAACATAATTGGTGGTTTTAAATTGGACTGCTTTAGCACGGAGAGTGAAATAATCTCTCATCCTGTCAAAGAGGCGATACCTTTAGACCAGCATTTAATTGCATTGGCAGGGTAAGTTTAGGGAGGCGGCAGTAATTCTGGCCACATTATTCTTGGTTTGTGGCTAAATTGAGATCATCATTTTCTCTTGGTTTCAGTTACTTTCTTTATTGCTCTTCAAGCTAATCAGATCACTATAGCGAGTGTAGGCTTACTGGTAGCTCGGGGGTGGATGAGGGAAAGGGTTAGGTCTCTGGTATCTGCCCTTCACTTTGGTCTGTGGAGGGAACATGTGACCCGAGGGTAAAGTTTGATGGCGTCCTCAGTATTGCTCATATGAACGGAATGCCATGTATTTACACAAAAGCATATGTACCTAAACTATGCTTTTGCTGCCACTCTGTTCAAGTTATGCTCTTGGTCGTTTGTATTAGTAGCCACAAGTCATTCTGGGATTCTTCCCAGAATGGGAAGCCTGGACTATTTCATGAAATATTAGTCCCTTCATCTCTACCCACTTTGTCATGGGACCACTGCCACCTGTCCATGGCTCTGGTACACACCAGTCTTTATCTTTTATGTCCCTCCTTTCGATGAAAGCATGTCCTTTTCATTGTCCCAAGCAGTCCCTTTTAAAGGAATTAGGTCATCGATACCTGGGGTATTTCTCAGTGTTGAAAATGGTGACTCAGCGCGAGCAGTAGCACTGGACCCTTCCTACTGCATAGAGCTGTGCAAGTGTCCTAAGTACAAACACTCCCGGTTCTGAGCTTAGACGTAGCCCAGAGGCAGCAAGGCTGGCCAGCAGAGTGTCTTTCCCAGCCTTCAGGGGCAGATGGAGAAGGGGGAACTGGCAGATTGGAAAGGAAATGTGTTGATATAAGATGTGGCCCATTTGCTTGTACTGGATTCAAGGCCACATTGCTATTCTTAGTGATCTGGAAAGTTTGGGCATTACAGTTTCCATGAACCATGGGCGAGCTGCATGTGTTTGCTTATAGAAAAATTAAATGGCAAGTAGGATAGATAAATGACAAGATAAATGATAAGATAAAGGATAGATAAATGTTGAAGCCTTCCTCCTCCACCCCCCCATCAGTGTGTGTTCCTATGCTACCAACTTGGAGTGGGTCGTTTGTCCTTCAGTGTCATTGGGAGTTGGTTAGAGGAGCCCTGGTTACCAAAATCCAGAGATTCTTAACTCCTTATATAAAAGAGCACAGTATATGCACATAACCTTTGCTCATTCTCCGTGCACTCTGAATCATTGCTAGATTATGTATAGCATCTAAGAGGTTGCAAATGCTCGTTAAACTGCATCGTCTAGGTAGTAGTGAGAAGAAGAACCAGCTGTATAAGGTTATTACAGATGCACCATTTTCTGTAAGTATTTTTGATCTTTGGTTGATTGAGAATTCTGGATGAGATTTGATCATAAGGAAACCCAGCTTATGTATGAATTAGATGGTCACCTTGGAGCACCATACCACTTTCATTTGAAAGGGGAAAAAGTGCTGCTCGTATTTTGTGTACCCCGAGTTCACTCAACATTTCTGTCCCCAATGTAGAGATACTGAGGGCTGGCTCTACTTTTGACGCTCTTAACTTGTATTCCTGTGGTAGACTATAGATAAGGAGATGCCTTGAGGGTCCCGAGTGGATATCTTCATCTGTGAGCTGCACACTCTGTTCACAGCATACTACTGTGAATAATACTACTCTTTGAATTTTTATGTAAGAATGTATTGATCAATTGTTAATTTAATGTGTGCGCGCATGTGTGTGTCTGTGTGTATGTGTGTCTGTGTGTATGTGTGTGTATGTGTTTATCAAAACACAAAGGAAAAAATCAGAAAGGAGGAACACTGAGTATTGTACTGTTTCAGCTTGAGCTTTACCTGCAACTGAGTTCAATGGTAACAAGGACAGCTCCTCAGATATGAAATTATTTAAGAAGCTTGAGTGTATCCCCCTTCATTGGGTTAGCTGTCTTTGGATGGCAGTTCAAGGCAACCACAAGGAAGAAAATAACTTCAGCTGTTACAGCGTGGAAGTGTGTGCTGTGTACTGTTCCTTGTGAGGCTGCTGACAGGGTGGGGCTCTTGTCTTCCTCACTTCTGTTTTCATCCCCTCTGTACCTCAGAAACAAGTCTTGTCAGGTAGTTTGATCTAATCACACAAAAGGAAACACTTCAACTTCCACCTGGTCAAGAATTTTTACCCATGAAAGTAAGTAACTCTACAAAATGTATGTGGACAGCGCTGGGGTTTGACCTTGCTTGCGTTTGGTAGGGAAACGTGTGTGGCTAGCATCCTTTGCCCCTTGAATTCACATGCAGCATCTCCATCCCTTTAGCTGTGCCACCAAATGTAGCAGAACTGAAGAACTTGGAAGTTCTTAACTTCTTCAATAACCAGATCGAGGAACTGCCGACCCAGATCAGCAGCCTTCAGAAACTCAAACACCTGAACCTTGGGTAAGTATTGGAGGTGATTGAGAAAATCACCGCCAGGTAATGAGATAAAGCCATTGTAGGGTGTGGGCAAGCAAGGGGAAGCGTTTATACGATTATCCCATAGGAGTAGTGGGTTTCTAATTGCTTTTAATATGTCAGGTTTAAGAAAAGGCTTACTGTTTTAATATTCTCAATGTTTTCCATTAGCGAATATACAGTTGAAAGCTAATTGAGAAGCTAATTGTTGACACAATAAGGAATTTTTTTCATGATATTTTGTTTCCGCTAAAATGTTATGTCTGTTATGTTGGTCAAGGAAGGACTGACTTGCATAGAATTAATCGTTTAGATAAACTGGACTACTGTCGGCCTGTTTTCTGTGTATTACATAGAAATAGTTAGAAAAACACCTTCCTTCTATGCAGTGACCCAACATGTTGCACTGTGACTTCAAGGCATTCTTCTGTGTTGTGGGGGTGGGGGACAACCCTATACTTTTACACCAAGGTGAAAAGAGGAAAGTTTATTCATCAGTGAGTGATAACAGTACTTTCTATCCATCCCTATATTACTTGGCAGTTTTCAGAGTTCCTGTGCTTGACCCTGGACACATCTGTGAGGTGGAGATGGTGGAATTCAGCACTTTCCTTTCATAGATAGGCAGTCAAGTTCTTCTCAAGAGCTTGCTCCTGATTTGCTCCTGATTACCTCTGACTTTGGTGGCTGAGTGCAGTGGAGACCTCTATTGATTTGGGTCCATCAGACCCCGTGGATGGCAAGTGGAACTTTGGCTGGCTGCCCTAGCGGTCAGCTGAAACTGTCGATTCATGTTTCCATCTCTGTGCAAACCAATTTCATTCAATTGTATCCATTGGATGCTCTAGTTCTATTAGCGAGCTTAATGGGGAGGGTGGGCGGAGTATGCTAGGTATTTCTCAGTCTTATAGGGAGTTTCTGAATTTGTTGTTAGTCCATTCTTTCCATGAGGGGTTTGGTTAGATGCTCTTGTTTTGAAGCTCAGTTTGGATAAGAGTCCAGCTTTACAAGATCAAAGAGCATCTATTTGCTAACCTGTGAGAGGAAGGAGAGTTAAAGAGAGAACAATGTTACTTCAAATGACAGTGTTTTCTCTTGCTGGTGCTATCACTGGATCCCCATCAATAAAACATAAAAGAAAAGGTTGTACATTAAGTTTGAAGATTATTAAGTCCTGGTACTGGAGACATAGCTCAGTGGGTAAGAGTGCCTGCTTTGAAACCAGGAGGGACTGAGTTAAAAGCCCCAGCACCCATGTAAAAGCCAGGATTTTCTTTGTGTACGTATAATCTTAGCACTGGGTTTATGAAGATAGACACAGATGCTGGGAGCTTGGTGGCTAAACAGCCTAGCCAAAAAGGCCAGCATTAGGTTCAGGGAGAGAACTTGTCTATAAAACTAAGGTGTAGGGTGATTAAAGAACACACATACTTTATGTTCTTCTCTGGCCTGAACAGGGGCACACACGATATACACATCTACATAAACCACACACATATGCACACACAAAATATTCCATTAAGTCATATGGTAAATTAGTGTGCAAAGTGCTAAAAATAGGTACATATTTTTACTATTAAGATCCATTTATAAAATTATAAAACACATCAAGAATATATGCATACATACTAATATATATATACATTTATGTGAGTGTGTATTATAAGGATATTAATGCACAGTCCATATTTGGATAGCATGAAATTAGGAACGTGACCTGATACATGTAAATCAGGACACAGCATTAGTGATTATTATCATCATATTTCACAAATTCGCTCATTTATTTCTTGACTATGTAAGTGCCAATTCTATGTCAGTATTGCTGATAGGGGATCAGAAATGAGTGTCATGGTGTGAGCCTTCGAATTGGGGCAGGATACACTGTCAGCACAGTATGGTCACAGTTCTGATGCAGCTGATGACACTGTGACGAAACCAGAGACAGGGAATACATTTGCCAGTAGACGAGGTTCTCCAGAGGCTTTACACAGGCCAAGTGCTGGATCCCGAGCGATACATGGAGATGAGTTACTCAGACAGCTAAGCAGTAAGTAAGTAAGTAAGTCTCAGGCTTGGAGAGCGGCACATTTCAGCCCTCAGGGCAGTACACAAACTCAATGTAAAGGTGAGGCAGGTGGTGGCCAGGTGAGATGCAAGAGCCAGCCAGACACTTGGCAGTGGCTACTGCACACCTAATGGGTGCTTGTTGAGTTCCAGCTTGCTACCAGGAGTCATTTTAGGTAATGGCCATCTCACACTACAGTGTGGGGACACTGGTGGCAAACAAATAGGTGTCAGTGATAGCAGGGAGTCAGGAGTGCTACCCCAATTTACATAGTGGAGCTCTGGTTGCAGATCTCTGCAGAAATTTGTCCTGCCTGCCAAGTAGTGGATGTGAAATGAGAACAGTTTTGTCTGAAAGCTCAGAGTGAAGAGAGTTAATGGAGGTTGATGTAAAGAGCAAGAAGCCGGTGGGAAAACCACCTTTGTGTCCAAGGTGATCTGGATTAGTGGTAGTGGGGGTGCAGGGGGAGGGATTTAATTTGAAAACTATGTAGAAGGAAAATTGCCAAGACAGTTATGGAAGGAAGGGATCCTACCTAGATTCCTGTGTTGGGCAGCTAACATTGGAGTTAGAGCTGGAGACACATTTGGGAAGAACATAAACTCAGGCTTGGTTTAGTTGACCTTGGGCTATCTTAGGACAGAGGGGTAAACTTGATGACCATGCACCTTGGTCACTTCCTTGCCCTTCTGGAATGGCTTGTGTTTTCAGCTCTAAGTTTATTGATTATGTAAAACACCTTTCAGTGTTTGATTATGTAGCTCCATAGAGGGTGCCATTTCCACAAAGCTTTTAGTTTTTTTTTCTTTAGGGGGAAGGAATTAAGATGGGTTTTGATAAAGGAATCTCTGCTCTTGGATCTCATGGAGGTTATAGGTGCACATTAAGGCAGGGGAAGGCAGGCTGGAGAGGACTGCTTAGTATTAGCAGGCCAAATGAAAGTGTGCACTTGGGATACCATATGTACCAGGGTTAGGTCCTGGTCCAAAGAATACACTCACCAATCTTTAGTTACGTGGTTCTTGTCATTTGTTATGAGGATTGCAAGACATGAATCAGCTTTAGGCCAGCTGCAATAAGAGGAAGTTTTGATCTGTTCTAAGTTTTAAAGCACAGCATATTGCATATTTTACAAGAGATGAAAAGCATGGATGGTCTGAGTTGTCAGGGTGATAGTTTGGGGGCTAACATCAGTGTTGCACCCAACTGCTGTGGACTGTCAGCCTGGCTTGTTGCTAAAGTTCATCATGTAAACATTTGGTAGTTAAAGAACCAGGTGTGCTTCTCAGACTGGCTTCATAAGAGATAAGAGAGGAGCACTGAAGCATCCTCTCTTATAGGTGAGTAGTCTAGGAGGTTGTTTGGGTTTGAGTAAAGTCAGCCTGGGTCTTGCTCTCCCTGAGACCTGCAAATCCACCTTTCTCTTGGTTTCCCTTCTGCTCAGTCATTTCTTAGAAGGCCGGATTGGTCGAGGTCCAACAGAAGCATTGGATCTGTTACTAGAATGATCAATGGTTGGATTGATTTTCAATGTCACAGTCTCTCCTCTTTTTCAGTGTCTGTCAGCTTACACTAAAGTTGTTTATACAGTGTTTAAACTGACTTTTAACTATTCTCAAAGGGAGCCTCAATAAGAGACATAAAGGTCTTGAGGGATAAAAGATAATATCAAAGAATTTGCTTAGATTTTTATATATGTATATACATGTATGTATGTATGTTTTTATGCATGTATATATATATGTATATAATTTTATTCATTTATATATATATATATGTAATTTGCTTCTCTATTGTTGTGATAAAATGCTAGCAAAAATTAACTTTGAGGAAGAAAGGGTTTCTTTGGCCCATCAGAGGAAGCCAAAGCAAGAACTCAAGGCAGGAACTGAAACAGAAAGGACAGGGAAAACCTACTTAACTTGCTCACTTCCTCTGACGTATTCTGCTCCCTTTCTCATGCAGCTCAGCCCCCTTGCCCACCATGAGAAATGCCACCACCCAGTGTCCAGACTTTCTTATTACACTGAGCAATGAGGAAAGCCCTGCCCCCCAGACATGCTCATAGGTCAGTCTAACAGGAGCAGTTCTTCACTCAAGATTCCCATTTCTCAGGCATTACTAGATGACAACTAACATTAGCCATCACACATACATGCTCACACATATAAATGTGTATATATGTGTCATAAAAGTTACCGTCATCTTAGCCTTGTAGTGTGTCAATCAGGAGTGTGATTTTCACGCTGTTACACTTTCAGTCTCCAGAAGCTTATTGTCTCGCAAACTTGAAATGACTCATTTGCCTCCCCCTGCCCCAGGCCCTGGCCACCAGCCATCTAACTAGAGAGAATTCTGAAAATTAGTACATAGGTGTTGAACAGGAAGTTGATTCTCCTCCAATTACAATGAATGGACAAAATAAAGCAAATATCCCAAATGCATGTTTTGAATTGCCGTTTACATATGTGTAAGAAAGTTTTTCTTCAGACAGACAGGTATTTTAAGTGTTCGTGTGCAGAGGGGTATTTAAGTTTTTCTATTTGAGGAAGGAATAACTAAAACTTTCCATACATTTCACGAGCATAGGTTGTTGAAATAAAACTGTTAAACTGTTAGTACTACATGAGCTCACTGTGAGGTAAAATATGAAGATCATCTACGTAGAGTAAGGTGATGTTTACTTGAAGCAGGTGGTGGGGATCAGGGAGTTAAGAAATTGTTAAAGGACCAAGAATTTCAGTTATTCAAGAGTAAGTTCAAGAGGTTATTCTATACCACAGTGACTAGCATTAACAATATTCACTATATTTGAAAATCACCCAGAGAATAGATTTGCAGTCCTGGTATATTCTCAGCACACACACACACACACACACACACATACACACACACACACACACACACACACACACACCCACCCCATATTGGTGTGACAGTTTCTTCTTGTTTGTTAAATTATATAAATACAATGAAAAAATCAAATACCATTTAGTGAATGCAGAACCATGGTGTGCTTTTGGACTTTCATCCTGCTGAACTGGGTTGACACTGAGAGTTTCCAGTGTTCTGTATAGATATGTGCCTTTTACAAGGTGACTTGTTCCTTCTGTCCCCAAATCACAGCATGAACAGGTTGAACACGCTGCCTCGAGGGTTCGGCTCGCTCCCAGCTCTGGAAGTCCTGGACTTGACTTACAACAACCTGAACGAACATTCTCTTCCGGGAAACTTCTTCTACCTCAGTGAGAAACTTTTAATTCTGTAAATCTCTTTAACGTGGTACTTTGGTTCTAAGAGTGAAAATTTATTTGCCAGTGCTGAAACTCATGAGAGAAATTATTGGACATACATATTTTTTCACCACAGAGTCCTTTTGAATATTCCTTCATTGCTCAGCAGTATTTATATTTGACATATAGTTGGCTGACACCATTGGGCAGACGTGGGCTTAGTAATATCACATTAACTTTCCAGCGGAGATATTAGTACCTACACAGGTCTCACATTTAGCTCAGAATCTTGACTTCCTGCTTAAAAAGTGTGAACAACAACAACAAAAAAGTTTTCCCCAGTTTCTATTAATTCCCTGAAATACACTGCTCAAAGATACTCTAGACAATTATTTGTTAAAATCTACTCATTCTTAAACTGCTAACAATTGTTTAAAAACTCAGCTCAGATCCTTGTTTAAGTCTTTGAAGAACTCTCCTTGCATGGACTGATTTAGTCTAGTATATAACCATTATGGAATCATTTATTGTGGATGGCCACATAAACATTTTCATACATTTCTTGCTGTAGATACACATAAAAACCAGAGTGACTGGTTTTCTAGCCACTCATGAAATACTTAGGGAAGAGCTATGTGTTTTAAGTTGGTGTTCTGCATCTGAGAGCAGTGACTTCTGTGTCATGTGGAGACTGTGTTGGTGATGTTCTGTGTATTTGTTTATGTTTCTCATTTACTTTTGAGTCAGAGTCTCACTCTATAGAGTTGTCTGGCCTCGGCCTCAGCGTGGACACCAGTCTGGTCTCATGCTATGGCGATTGGCCTTGGCTTAACCTCTTGTCATGATGCCCACACTAGAAAATCTGCTGCTTCTGGACCGGTCTCTGACATTTCACAGTTTACCTTTTTCACGACCTCTACCGGACATTCCGAAGCACGGGAAACCAATTCTAAATTATCTTCTTGAGCCTCAGAGGAAATCATCTTTGTTACACATGTTAACATTCAATTCTGTCAACCTTACCCGTGTTAGAATGTAGATAGATAGCTGTTAAGCCATTATTTTAAAGTGTATCTAATAAACCGTGCTTTGTTGTTTTCTTGTTGACTGCTGTTTGGGGATTTTATCCTCCAGTGGCTGAGGTCACACCATCATTGTATCATCTGGGCATGGTGTGACTTTTGATATTTTGCTCATTTTAGGCTTCAGTCTCTTAAATCCATGTCATCCATTTAACCCCTTGTCTTCATATAGTTCTATCATTAAAGCTAACCGTGAGTAGTCTGACTAGGGGAATCAGTAATTCTAGATGATGGTGCCTATCACCAGAAGGGCCTTCATCTCCATATTTATTCTTAACACTGATCTGTTTGTTTAAGAAAGCGCTAGTCTGACATAGTAGATCCTGTTTGATGCAAGAACCCCTTTGCTCTGGATTCTAACATGTGTAGCACAGCAGCCCTTCTTTCTCTGGAAATGCAAATGGTATAATCAATGTGATCTCTGATGTGAGAGAGAATTGCTACCTTTTCTGAAAACACCGAGACTGTGCTGAACTCTTCCTGTCAGTCTTCTTGGATACAGATGTTTCCTGGACATCCCAGGGCCACAGCCAACCAGTAAATCTAGGTCTGACCTGCTTGTTATTATAGTGAGCCCTAGGCATGTCACAGTCTTTTCACCAAGCCAGGGTTATTAATCAAACCTGACTCCCTCGTATCGATCAGACCTCAAATGGTTGGATTCCACGCCACCCTGCTTATATATTGCTGTTTAATTTGCAGCCACCCTGCGTGCACTCTATCTAAGCGACAACGATTTTGAAATCCTGCCTCCAGATATTGGGAAGCTCACAAAGTTGCAGATAGTAAGTAATTTATCTAAATTCTTAGAAAATCAATTCACTCCCGCAGCCCTTGTAAGAGTGGAATGGAGTCAATTTGAGCAGGAGTAAGGTTTGTTTTGGAGGAATGAACCAGAGCTCCGGCTTCTGTTTCTTGTTTAGCCAGACACTTTTGAATGAATTGAAAAGATCAAGCCTTGAAGGAAGAGAGGGCATCGGGCGAGGGTGTGAGTTTCTGTTGAGCACCTCTTTATGAAAGATTGTTTTGACAGTTCCCTGTTTTTGTATATTTAGCTCAGCCTCAGGGATAATGACCTGATCTCACTGCCTAAGGAAATCGGGGAACTGACCCAGCTGAAGGAGCTCCATATTCAGGGGAACCGCCTGACCGTGCTGCCTCCAGAGCTGGGTAAGGTTGCTTGTCCACAATCTCAGTGCTGGGTTCAGTGAGTAGTTAACCTAACATTGCAACCTCTGGCCAACCTCTGTCTTCTTCTGGACACTCACTCACTCACTCACTCACTCACTCACTCTGATCAAGTTAGTGCCATTTGTCATTGACCAGAGCCCACATATTATGGATTGACTTTCTGGGATACAGATAGCTATAGGGGACAGCATCTCAGAAACTGCTCACCAGGGATGGCCTAGGACACAGTGGCGTAGTGGGAGGGGCTTGGGGTTAGTAGTTAGAGCTTCCTTTAGAGTGCTTGTGTATGAGCAGAGTAGGCTTTCTGGTTCTTGCTGCATTAATAATAACTTTTAATCAAAGCAATACCCATTATCTGTTAGTTATTTTCTTCTTTTTTCCCCGGAAAAGTTTTACCTACTTGATGAACCGTATTAATTACAGCTACTTGAGAATGCCTTTTCCAATGGTGGTTTTGGTTCTGCCCTGATGTCATCTCCAGTGTGAACTGTTAAATGTGTACTTATTGGTAACTCTTTGGGCCTGTTCCTGGTGGCTAAATTTCAGGTCCCTGTGTGGCTCCTGGCAGGTGTCTGGCTTCCCTCTCTCATGACCTCTGAACCCACAGCTTCACTGCTAAAGAGGTCCTGACTTTCTGCGACAAGCTCATGGGTGGCATGTACATAGAATCCCAGCATATGGAAAATGGAGGTAGGCCAATCAGGAGCCACCTTGGGTCACACAGTGAGACTCTTTAAACACAAACAATAAAGCCACAAAGTTTGCTGACCTCATTTCTTCTGACTTTTGATAGAACCACCTGGCTTTCTTGAACTGATACTATTTTCTTGATTACTTGCTTCTCCACATTAAAATAGCACATGGAAAACAACAACAACACTCAGTTTGACTCATACTTGTTGGAGAAAACTATTCTGCACACAGAACTGGTGCTTTTCAAAGGCCAGCCATTACAAATGAGGATATATGATGACATGAGAGTAAGAACATTTTCACATGTGTCCCCCAGCTGTCACCCCATGCCTGGCAGAAGGTATCAGTCAAACACAACTGATTTAAGGAAGTGACAACCTTGGATACTAAGGTGTTCGGAAGGTCACAGACACAGTTTGAGTTCTGTCTACCGCTGATATTTCCAGCACCAGCCAAAAGTGGGCTGTTTCCCAGCCGTGTGTGGCTCCTGGTTGTCATGCAGGAAATTCTAGTTCTGAAGCAAAGTGCTGAATAAAAGGTAAGCAGGGGCCGAGAGAGATGGTCCAGCAGCTCAGAGCATTACTCTTCTTCCATCAAACTCACATTTGGTAACCATCACCCATGTCAGATGGCTCACAACTACCTGTAACTCCAGCTCCTGGGAATCCAACGTTTCTGCAGGAACCTACATGCCTGTGGCATACCCTCACATAGACACTTACACTCATGCATACACTTTAAAGAATAAACTTTAAAGACAAGCAGTCACCTGATTTCATGGAATGAATACTCGTCTCCCCACTTTTCCTATTTCCTTCAGCAGCCGTTCTGTTTTTATTTTATGAGTTTTCAGGGCTCAGGGGTAACTCAGCACCTTTCTTCACTGATTTACAAGAAGTCAAGTTTTGCTTTGGAAAGAATAAAGCATAGGAGCCCCCCTTAAATTTAGTTGATGATGATGATGATGATGATGTAGTATAGACTTGTAAACCTAGTAGTTGAGATGCTGAAATAGGAGAGTCCCAGGTTCAAGGCCAGCCCGGGCTTAGTGAGCCCTGTCTAGGGTCTTTTCACTTGCTGTTTAGTGAAAAATTTCTAAGATGGAAAAACTTGCCTAAGGAAAGACTCAGGGCAGTAATTGTTAGCGATACTTGGGGACTTTTTACAGAACATAAGTAACCCGCCTCCTCCCACGCCATTGAATCAAAACTCCATGTGTGAGACAGATCCTTGTGTAACAGGATGAAGCTTGCTCAGTGCTTCTGACGTGTGTCTTCAGTTAGTGTGATTAGTAAAATTGGAAAAAGTAAATATGCATTTGGTCGCCACTTTGACTTTTTTTTCATTTGTTCAAGCAATATGGTAATACAAAGTATAGACCAGGCAATATTTTGTTGGATAATTTCTTAGAAATGTGCTCAAAACCAGACTAGCCCAATCTATGAATTTTTAAACTTTATTCTTTTTTCTATTTTACGTAAATATTCCATGTCATAATTTTTCTCTGATATTTTATTTAAGCTAGCCAATAGCAACTTGAGTGTGTGTGTGTGTGTGTGTGTGCGCGCGCGCGCGCGCGTATGTATGTGTGTATATATTTTAACTTAGGAATAGAATTGAAAAGACTCTTTCTATGACGCTGTTTTCGCTAGTCATACCTAGAAAATGTTGGTGTCCACATCAGCCTGGTAGTCTTTTTTCTACTTTAAAGTGAATACTTTAGTTTGAAATATGCAACATAGTCTTAGAAGCCTGGGTTAATAATCCAAAATAAAGGTGAAGACTGAATTACCTTTTTTTTAACATTATTGACTTTGGTTATTTTAAAAGCCAAGAATGGCATATTAGTTGGTAATACATTAACAGGTAGTAAGGCCTTGGATGCCAGGTCACTGTGATAAGTACTTTTCCATGCAGTCTCTCATGCAGTCATGATAGTGGTGAACAAACCTTTCAAGGAGGGGTGACCTGCCCATAAGGACACAGCTAATGGAGTCACAGTGGCTGTAATTGAACCTGTCAGCCTCTCCTCCTGGCCCTCATTCCTGACCACTGGAATGAGCATCTACTCACCCGTCTGACAGGAAGGAGAGTCCTAGACATGCACTTTTGAGTTGGAACCAAAAGACAGCACCTCTTCAAGATGGTGAGGAGGAAGATTCAGACAGTGAGGCCAGTGGCATGCCCAGTCTATGAGTTGCTTTGCTGGTCTGTGAGTGAGGCTACAGTACTATGCAAAATGTGCTTTGCAAAATGAATTACTAGACGAGCACCACAGTTGGAATGGTTTCCATTTGTACACATGATGCTGAGTGACCATCCAAACAAAGACCCTCCTCTCATTCGGCTTGTCTTCGCTGTCTCTGGGGTATCCACTGGCTGGAGGTTTGCCTCTGGGTATATTTTTAAGATTTATTTATTTATTTATTTATTTATTTATTTATTTATTTATTTATTTTTACATATTGGAATAAGCAAGTGCTCCTGAGATTTTGTGAAAATTCTTTCAAGTAAACCCAGAGTTTGTAATTTGAAACCTCGTTGGTGAGAGAATTTCAGCCAAGCAAAGGAATCCAGATGAGTTCTGACTTGCCAGATCCAAGGACATGAAGGAACATAGCAAAATGAAAGTCAGGGGCTTGCTTGGACTTCTTTGGCTTTTCTTTTCCTTGTATGTGTTACTTAGACCATATATCTGGTTTCTAAATGGTATAAAATACTTGCTTCCGTGTCATTCTATATACCTTGCAATGGTTTTAACAAGCAACAGCACCCCAGGCTCTGGGAACATTTAGTTCCTGGTTCTAGGTGTCATTTCAAGCTATGAGGCCTTTATGGGGCCAAGCCTGGTTGGCAGAACTAGGGCACTGAAGGAAGAGGTGTCTTTGAAGACTTCAGCCACTCTTCCAATGCAGCCTTCTCTGTTTCTTAGTCTACTACTATGTGACTGTCATTGCCATGGTGGTGAGTTGAAATCCCTTTGAAACTAGGAACCAAGATAAGCCTTTTCTCCCTTAAGTTGTTTCTGTCAAGTTGTTTCTCAGTATGATGCAAAAGTAACTAATAGTTGTCTCTAGAGTGTTAGTTATAAATTGGGAATTGGGTTACCTGCCCATTCCTTCCTTTACTCATTCTTTCCTTCCTTCCTTCCTTCCTTCCTTCCTTCCTTTTTTCCTTCCGCAATTATTAATTTCCTTCTTTAGCCTCCCCCCTCTTTTTTTTTAATCCCAAGGAATTTGCTTTCCCAAGAAGGAGAATTCACTTATTCAACAAATATTTATTAAGCCTCTATTTTGCATATTTTCTAGGGATTATAAGAAGAGATAGAATGCCTCATATGGAACTGTTGTTATAGTGAGGATACAGAAAAAGTCAGGTGGGAAGGAAGGGAAGGAGATGTACAGACAATAGACAAAGACAGAAAAAGCTAGCTTGGTCAGTAAAGATGATATATCCTATGGTGTTAAAAATGAAGCCTGAGTAAAGGGCTGGGTAAGGGGAGAAATAATCTGAGAATCCCTCACCTATAGTACATTTGATTAAAACTTTAAAGAGGGGAGGAGCTCTTTTGGTTTCCAGAATATACTGAAGACCAGCTTTGTAGACTAAACACCTACTAGATTCTTAGAGGTTCCATGGGTAGACAGCCATGGTTGGCCTAGTTGGAGCATAGTCTGTAAGCCTAGTCTAGTTAATCTTTTTTATATAGAGATTTGTTCTATCAGCTCTTTTCCTCTAGAGAACCCAACTAATACAGATTTTGGTACTAAGAATAGTTCGAAAGCAACAGAAGTATAAGGATAAATTTTTTAAGTATCTAGAATGGGCTTTTCAATTTGCTGACGCCTATAGTTATTGAAGTGTTTCCCAGAAGCTTGGTGAGGATTGAAAGCCCATAGGGTGAACTATTTTCCAAGCCTAAGGAGATAAATGCCTTTGAAATTGAAGTCTAGGAGGGAAACACTGTGGGTGACAATAGTTTGCCTCACTTAAACTTGCTGTCTCCACATTGGTGACCTTGATGAGGAAAGCCTCCTGTGAATCACTTGCCAAATCCGACAAAGACTAACAGTGGCTCTCTTCCGTCTATATTGTTTTCTCTAGTTCACCAGAATTATTGCCCAAGCTGGCTTCATTTTTTAGTTGTTCCTGGTCAAATGAAAATGAAGATATTACGTAAGATGCACTATTTTTTTAAATTTATTTTTTCATTAAAATTTTTTTTTTAATGTTTAATTTAACTCTTTTGGGGGAACCAGGCCTCAGAGTAGTTTAGGCTGATCTCA